TAACACTGTAAAAATAATACCACTACTAGAAAAAATAGCCATACAAAATTTTAATGTTCTGAAATAAAATCACAATAGAAAACTAATAAAGGCTCTTCAGCATAAACTTCTACCTTTCTGCACCATCCAATATAGTAACTACTAATTTTTAAATTAATTAATTTCCACTGAAATGGCCACAGATACAGAATATTTCTAACATTGCAAAAAGACTTAACTGCTCTTAGACCTACATTAGATCCAGAAACAAAATTACCTGATCTATTTCCAGTCCTTAATATCTAAATGCACTGATAACTCTTGGGGTCATGTATACCAAACTAAGTTCTTTCTTCCTTAACAGACTTTGCATTTTATTTTCCCCAAAGTTCTCTAGACTTAACAAATTACCTGCTCTGAAATGATGCAACATGTGTGCCTCAGAGAGTTTCATGACATAAAGAATGATTTCCCTTCTCCCTTTGGGAACTGGAGGACCCAGATGCCCCAAATAAAAAACTATTAAAAACAATTATAGTTCATAAAACAATAAGAACACCATGACCACTGCAGTTAGTTCATAAGAACATAAACCCATTTCCTTTTCACCAAAACTTCAGCTAACAAACATGAAGACCCTCTGCAGAGAACAATTTTTAAAAACAAGTTATAGTTACTTTGGATATGACAAATTCCTGCTTTGAAAGAATAATATACTTTGAAAAAAACAAAATCCTTAATTCAATAACAAGTGACTATCTAACCTCATTTTTTTTACTGATGTTTTCTAATAGAAGATAAAGAAAAAACCTCTTGCAATTTCATTTCTTAGCTCTCCACTGCTTACCAGATCATTTTCCAGTGCAAAGGGCAGAAGGATCCAGACAAACTTCTAATTTTAAAGTTTTTTAGGTTTACTCCCAAGTCTATAAAATTCTGATCCAAGCTAAATGCAGCCTTTCCACAGTGTGTCGGAAACCCAGTTTAACTCTGACCTGGGATTTTCTCAAAAGGAACACGACTGACATTTGGAGCCGAATTCTCATTGCAGAGACAGTCATGTGCTTTGCAGGATGACAGCAACAYCTCTGGCCTATACTCACCAGATGTCAATAATAGGTGCCCCCAGTTTGACAACCAAAAATGTTTCCAGACATTGCCACATGTTCTCTAGGGGTGCAAAATCATTCCTGGTTGAGAACTACTGCTCTAACCCAAGAAGCATTCTTTTCTTTTTTTTTTTTTTTTTGGGGGGGGGTACTGGGGATTGAACTCAGGGGCACTCGACCACTGACCCACATCCCCAGCCCTATTTTTTTTTTTAAAGAGAGTGAGAGAGACAGAGAGAGAGAATTTTAATACTCATTCATTCATTTATTTATTTAGTTTTAGGCGGACACAACATCTCTGTTTGTATGCGGTGCTGAGGATCGAACCCGGGCCGCACGCATGCCAGGCGAGCACGCTACCGCTTGAGCCACATCCCCAGCCCCCCAAGAAGCATTCTTGGCTTATCTCAGCCCTAATTTCCCCACATTCATGGATGCTCCTTCAAATTTTTCTGCTGGCACTTTCTTTCACTATCCAACTTAGCCAACATTTACAGAAGGAGCCTCTAAGATAAGTCATCAAGGGTTCCAGGAGAAAAAATAGGCAAGACAGATTACATACCTTCTTTCAAGGAGATGGCTTAGGAGACTAGTACATGAAGAACTTTAATTAAAGACACCCAATCATATAACATAACTGTACATTTTTTTAACTATGGAATTCTCATCTCACCAAACTAAAAATACCTTGAGGGTAAAAATTATATTTTTTCCTGAAATGCCAATACTCGGTGGACAACAACAACAACAACAAAAAAAAAAAACTGCAAATTTCAACATCACAGGTGGCAATTTCATATAGTCAGTAAAAATTCTAAAGCTAACTTGGATAAGTTAAGTTACCCTCCCTTGTGTATACTTTGTTCCTCTATAAAATGGTAAGAAAATGATGGTTGAAAGAAATAAATCAGATAGTAACAAGTAACTCTTTTTCTGTATTCTGGCACAGAGTAAGCATTCAATATATATAAGCTATCATTTCTATTATTAGCAATAAATCTTACCTCAAAAGGAAGAGCTTAACCTGGACTGCAATAATAAATCCCTACATGACATAAACAGAAATCAACTGTCACATTACTTTCTGAGGAAAAGCAGAAAGTAAAAGCATTTCTGCCAATGCCCTTGAAGGAAGACATGAACGCAAGAACCAGTCAGGGGAGGGAGGAACCATACTCAAAAACAAATCCACTGTCTTCAAATATATACTTAATATCTTTCTATTTAAAATGTGAGTTGAGCTGAGGGTATAGCTCAGGGGTAGAGCATTTGTCTAGCATGTGGGAAGGCCCGTGGGTTCAATCCCCAGCACCATAAAAAATAAAATATGATATGATTGTCATAAACACATGAGAACCTAAAAGAAAAGTTATAACATGTTCAATTTGTAAATACTGGCGCACACACACAGAGGTGTTTATGAGACATACACTTTTTTTTCAGTGCTGGGGATTGAACCCAGTGGCTCTATTACTGAGCTACATCCCCCCACCAAAGGCACAGACAGAGGTTTATTTAGAAAAGTAGATACTTATCCAAGGGGTAAGGGGAATAATCTCAAGAGAGAGAGAGAGAGAGAGAGACCCCTTTGGGGTAAAGCAAGGAAAACATATTCAAGAGAGAATGAAGGCTATCTCCAAAGGGAGACACAATCCCCAGCTCTTTTTGAGACACAGTCTCACTAAGTTCCCCATGCTGTTGAATTTGGCATCCTCCTACCTCAGCCTCCCCAATCACTGGGATTACAGAAATTTGACCAGGGCCAGAAAGACATAGCCTTTATAGGTGCTTGTTTACTTAATATTTCTTTTAGAAATTAGCTTAGAATTTCTTCCCCAGCCCCCCATGGGAGGAATAAACAAACTTTAGATATGGCAAAGGGGAGTAAGGGGAGTAAGGGGATGGGAGGAGGCATGGGGGTAGGAAAGAGGGTGCAATGAGATGGACATCATTTCCCTAAGTACATGTATGAAGACACAAATGGTATGACTCTACTTTGTGTATAACTAGAGACATGAAAAATTGTGACTATATGTGTAATATGAATTGAAATGCATTCTGCTCTCATACATAACAAATCAGAATAAATAAAATTTTAAAAAAGAAATAAAATTTTCAAGGAAATTTTTTTAAATTACTGAAAAAAAAAAAAAGAATTTCTTCCCCTCACTCCCCAGCACTAGGGAATGAAAAACAGGGCCTCACGCTGCTGGGCAAGTGCTCTACCAACATGTGACAACCCCACCCCTGCTTAGAATTTCTATGGCTTTAATACTAAATATATGCCACTAATTTTTAATTTAACATAAAGCACAAAAAGTTCAAAATTTTAAAAGGCAAAAATTGTTAGATGTTTTATCTGTTGTTGCTGTTGCTGTTGTTTGGGGGGGGGGGGGGTTTCTACCTCAGATTGAACCCAGGGCACTTAACCACTGAGCTACATCCCCAGCCATTTTTTTGTATTTTTATTTAGAGACAGGGCCTAGTTAAGTCTCTGAGGCTGGCTTTGAACTTGTGATCCTCCTGCCTCAGCCTCCCAAGCCGCTGGGATTACAGGCATGCACCACCATCCTGGCTGTTAGATGTTTTAAATTAAAAAAAAAAAAAAAAAAAGTTGGGTGGTTCACAGGTATGGGTGCATGTGTTTGGGTAAAGTAACATTATGAGATGGGAAACATCTGGGGTACAAGTAGGAAAGCCAGCACCATTTAAAAGAGATACATCCAGGAATATCTCCTCTGGCAGCACTGAGAGTTTAGCTGAGCAAAAACGGGCTTTAGTCTCATAATGGATAACGGAATGTAGTGGGTACCTTGGGCTTCATATTAAGTGTGTTAGACTCAAGGCCTCATACAATCCTCCCAAGGATCCTAACTATCAGTACCAACTATCTTACAAACACTATCAGTACCCACATCTTACAGAGAATGAAAGTGAGAAAGAGAAGTTAAGGGACTTGCCCAAGTTTACTTAAGGAGGGAGGAACTATACTCCAATCTAGGCTCCACAGATGTGCCTCAACCACTGTACTTCATGGTGTCACTTTAACTTCAAGCCTGGAAAATGATTTATTTACTGCTTGGCGCGCCCAGTTCTCTCCCCTCTCCCCTTCTGTATTTCAGAAACCATCCATCCTTTTAGATGCATTTGGTGTGGTGATCCCCAGACTGAAAGGTAAAAGTGGAATACATTGTCCCTTTCATCTTTGCACAGTGAAGTAACCCAAACGGAGCAACTTGCTTGGGTGGAAATGGACAGTCCTGAACGAGAGCATGAGAGTCTTGGGGAATGGGGGAGATCGCCAAAATTCCTACTGCAGCCTGTGTGCGGCCTTTGCTTTGACTACTGTGTTCTTTGCAGACCTCAGCGCCTACCTGTTMGGTCCCGCTCCCGCCCGAGGGAAGGAGGGGGCGGCGGAGGGCACGGATGGACCGGGGGCCTGAGTGCACCTAGGCGAGCGCGAAAGGGACGCTGCCAACCCGGATGAGGGAGAAGCGCGTGGAAAGACAGGGGCAGGACACAGACCTGGGGTCGGCTGAGGAGACAGAAGCGGGAGGCGGCAGCCCAGGTGCGTGGGCCCACGGAGACGCTAGCAAACCCCGGCCGCAGCTCGAGGGGCGCCAGCAGAGCAACCCTGTCACTGCCACCTGGGCTGGTCTGAAAGGAAGCGCGGCAGGAACCGAGGCATTTCGAAACGGAGAACAAAATAACCTCGAGCGCCCTCAGGGCCCGGGTGGCTGCGGCGGCGGGGACAAGGTCGCGCCTCAGGGGAAGCGGGCCCCGCGCCCGAAGGGGCTGCGGAGGTGGGTCCGCGCGGCCCGGGACCCCGGGCAGAGCGCCGCAGAGGCTCGCGCCGAAATGCGGGGCCCGGGGCGGGCGGCACCCACCCGCCAGCGCCCTGGCAATGCGTACCTGCGGCGGCCGCCAGGCTCCCCTCCACTCCGGAGCTGTCCCCGACGCCGCCCGCCGACCCTCGGCGGGCTGCGGGGCTCCAGAAGCCCGGCCCCTCAGCCGCCTGCCGGTTCGACATCTGCAGCCCGCGCCCGGAGCGTCTCCGCCACCAGCCGCCGGCGGCTCCGGAAACAGCCGAAGGCCGCGCGAGCGCGCTGGCTGCGAGCCGAGAAGAGCCGAGGGAGCCTGGGGCCGGAAGAAGCGGCGCCGCRACCGCGGAAAGAGCGCACCGGCCCCGATGCGGCCCCAGGAGTCTGGCCCGCGGAGGCTGGCGACGCGGACGCGAGGAGAGCTACTGGCTGCCTTTGATCGCCAATTTTTAAAATCTGGGATCGGTTAGAATCAACAAAACGTGAGGAAGATTCAGGAAGACACTGCCGGAAATCGTAGTATCCATAGAGACGCTGTCGGAAGTTGAGGTTGCTAGGAGGCCTAGGCGCGTCCATTGAACTGCGTAATGGAGAAAGTCCCAGAAGATTATGATTCTAGTCCTGATGAAAATGAGAAGTCAGAGCCTGAGAGGCCTGAACTTCGTAAATTGTCTGAAAATGCCGAACCAGACACCAAGACAGAGGCAGGCTACGAGCTATCCCCAGAAAATGACCAAGTGCCACTGCCACTAGAAACTGAGAAAGAGGAAGAGTCAGAGATTGCAAAGAATGTGCAGCCAAAACCAACCTGGACGTCTGAGGAAGAAATTCCTAAGGAGATCGAGGTAGAGCCATCTAGCCAGACTGATTTAGGGATTCCCCAAGTGTTAAAGTCAGAGTCATTGAGAGAGATGGGAGACGAGCTTTACAAGGATTTGGAGGCACCAGACCTAGAGCCACAAGAAGACGCTAAATCAGATGTTACAGAGGATGTACTCACAGAATCAGCTTCAGAAATAGATATTCAGTTACCAGCGGAAACCAAGTCTGAGGTTCCGGGGACCACAATCAATATGACAGGATTAGAGTTACTAAAGGAGTCTGAACAGGAGGTTCCAGAGGAATCACTTAGAGAGCAGAAGAAGGAAACAGATCTAGAACCTCCAGAGCAGTCCAAACTAGATTTTTCAAATGAGAAACCAAAGAAATCAGTTGAAGAGACAGATCTACAGCCAACAAAGATGACCAAACCAGAGATTCCAGAGGAGACACAAAGAAAGTCAACTGAGCAGACTAAACCAGAGTTTCCAGACCAGAAATCAAGAAAGTCTACTGAGGAAGCAAATCTAAAACCTCCAGAAGAGACTAAACTAGAGGTTCCAGAAGAGATGCAACAAATGTCAACTGAGGAGAAAGTTCCAGAGCGACTAGACGAGGTCAAATCTGAGCTTCCTGAGGAAGAATTAAGAAAAACAAATAATGAAACAAATCTAAAGCCATCAGAAAAGACTACATCACAAGTTCCTAAGGAAACAAAAAGAAAGTCAACTGAGGAAAAGATTCCAGAGACAGCAGAAGAGACTGGTCTAGTATTACAACATGAGGTCAAACCAAATGTTCAAGAGGAGACACAAAAACAGTCAATTCGGGAAAAAGTTCTAGAACTATCAAAGAATACCAAACCAACAGATCATAAAGAGAAGCGGAGAAAATCAAGCAAGAATATAGGACTTGCTCCATCAGAGAAGTCTGAATCATGGGAAACACCAAGGGAGTCAACTGAGGAGAAAGGTCTAGAGCCACCAGAGCAGTCTAAATCAAAGTTTCCAAAGAAGGAACCAAGAAAATCAATTGAGGAAACAGGCCAAATGCCACCAAAGAAGACCAAACCTAAAGTTCAAGACAAGACACAAATGGAGCCAACTGAGGAGGAAAATCTAAAGTTACCAGATGAAATCAAACCAAGAGAGAAACATACAGAATTATTCAAGGAAGAAGAGCCAGCACCAATCAAATCTAAGTATTCTATGGATAAGGATCAGCTAGAATACCCCAAGTTTCAAACCATAAAAGTGTCAGTAGAAGAAACTGACACAACTTTTAAAAAAGACTATGCATCTAGACCTCTCATACAAAGTGAAATGGAATCAACTAGTACAAATTATGAGTATCTCTCAAAACTTCCAAAACTGCTTCAYCTTGTTGATATCTTAGACCTCCCAGAGACTCAGACAGGCTTAAGAAAGGCCTTTAGTGAAAAGAAAATTACAGATTCAGGCCAAGAATTGAAAGAAACAGCACCTAAAGATAAAACATCCCAGCCAAAAAAAAAGGAAACTGCATTACAATTCGAATATCTTAAATGGAGCCCAGAGAAAGTTGCAGAATGGATTAGCCAGCTAGGCTTCCCTCAATACAAGGTAACAAAAATAACACTTTTAAAAATCATATGCTCTCATCCTACCTCATACTTCCTCTACCCTGACCTGAGGTCTTTCCTCTTCTTCACTAGGAGTACAGAAAAGTCCTGGACTCTGGGGAAGGTAATCTGGAGTGTACGTGTGTGTGTGTGTGTGYGTGTGTGTGTGTGTGTGTTTCTGAGGATCAAACCCAGGGCCTTTCATGTGCTAAGCACACTACCACTGAGCTCCACCCTTGCCACTGATATATATTTGTATTTTAGGAGAGGAAGGGAGGGTCATGTTTGTTTTTTCAAAAGTTAGGTGCTGTGGCATGCACCTGTAGTCCTCACACTTGGGAGGCTGACATAGAAACATCACTTGAGTCCAAGAGTTCAAGACCAGCTTGGGCAACAACATAATAAGGGTCCATCTTAAAAACATGAATAAGCCAGTCGCAGCAGCTCATGCCTATAATCCCAGGGACTTGGGAGGCTTAGGCAGGAGGATCACAAGTTTGAGGCCATCTGGGCAACTTAGCATGACCCTATCTCAAAATTAAAAAGGGGGTAATGATATAATTTAGTGGGGGAGGACCTCTGAGTTCAATCCCAAGTACCTAGTATGTGTACCTCATATACAAACAGTAATAATAATAATAATTAGTAATAAATCRTATGTTTTTCCTCTTTATTCCAGTGATTATATTTCTTTGCAGTCTTTGAAAAAAGACCAAGAAATTTGCATAGGCCTCTTTTCATTAAAAAMCAAAAACCTATATTTTAAAATAGATTTTGTCCAAGGTAGACTTTCTGGTACTTTGTCAAGTTGTTTTAGTGGCAACTCCCTTACCTTGAACTTTTACTGTTAAATTCTTGTGTATGCCCCAAATATGTCAAGTACCATGAGCACTTAAGAGTAGTGAGTTAGTCAATTAACCCAAAATAGCTTTAGCAAAAACATAGTGTTAAGTCTCTTAATTTACTAATTCCAACTAAGATTTTAGGCTACCACAAAACATCACAAGATCTGAAATCTTTACCTCTTGTACTTAAAAATGTAATTGAAACCAGCTACTCAGGAGGCTTGAGGCAGGAGGATTGGAAGTTCAAGGCAACTTAGCTTGACTCTGTTTCAAAATAAAATTAAAAGGACTGGTGATATAGTTTKGTGGTGGAGCACTTGCCTAACATGTGTGAGGCCTTGGATTCCATCTCCAGTACTGGGGGGAAARAAAAAAAAAAAGGMAAGGAGACCTGAAGAATCATTGGTTGTAGCATGCCCCACCCCCCAAAAAATTTAATTAGCCTGAAATTTTATCAAGAGCTTAAACAGAAAATATGTTGTACTATTAGATTACAAAATGAATTTAATTTTTTTCTCATTATAGGGCTAGAGACTAACATGATTCCATTCTGTCCTTCATCCTTCTCTCCCTCCCTCCTTTTTCTTCCTCCTAGCTGCAGAACATTTTTAAGTGTTGTTCTTTTTGTACTGACAGGAGTGTTTTACCACAAACTTCATTAGTGGCCGAAAACTCATCCATGTAAATTGCTCAAACCTCCCTCAGATGGGGATAACAGATTTTGAGGACATGAAGGTGAGTTGTATACAAAGTGTCCCTGAGGAGCACTGTACCAATGCTACCATGAATCCCAGACAAACCTCCTTTTCTTTTGATCCTATTTCTGACCATGGTGTCATTGTCCTCCCACCCTCCCAGGCTCACAGTGATTGCTTCCTCTCTGTCCTTTGATCCCTACAAACATYCCAAGAACTGTCAGTTTCTCCTGTGGCATTTCAGCTGGCTGATTCTCTCCATCCCTGATTTTCAGGCCCTATTGCCTCATACCTTGTACACTGAAGTAGCCTGTCACTTTGAGCCTCTCTCCTTAGGCTCTTTGGATTCAAGGGATCTGTCTTTAGACCTTCAATGTCCAACCACTCATATATTATTTGGAAATCTTCTTTGGATCCCGTCTGTCTGTTTACCCCATAGTCCCAACTCCGTAGTTTAGGATTCAAGGCCCTCCACAAGTTTTCTCCAACCACATTYGCTCCCCACCACTCCTCTAGTGAATCTTTGCTGAACCTGCCAGGCTCTCTCAGTTCACACTCCTGTCTGGTGCATGCCTCCCTCTGTGTCTTTGCTCAGATCCTCTTCTCCTGTTTTACTAATATGAATCCTAATCTTACTTCAAGACCAATTTCTCATTCTCATCTCCCCAAGAAGTCTTTTCTGACCTTGCCATCCCATATAATCCCTCTTCTCAAACTCTCATAACACTTTGTCTCTGATACCCACTTAGCATTTATGTAACACCACATGTGTTTTGTCTGCTTTGCTGCCTAACATTGAAACAAGTTACTTTAACCTCCCTGGGCCTCATCTCTCCAACACCACTAGTCCGTGATCACTCTCCTTTCCTTACTATTTATTACCTTACATGGGCTGGGGCTGTATGTAGATCAGTGGCAGAGCGCTTGCCTAGCACGTGTAAGGCACTGGATTTGATCCTTAGCACCGTGTAAAAAAATAAACTAATAAATTAAAGGCATGCTGTTTATCTACCACTACAAAATTTTTTTTAAAAAATATTACCTTCCTGAGCTGGGGATATAGCTCAGTTRGTAGAGTGCTTGCCTTGCATGTACCAGGCTCTGGATTCAATCCCCAGCACCAAAATAAATAAATAAATAGATAAAGAAATATTACCTTCCATTTGTAGTGTTTACAATATATAAAGCATCACATACATAATCTTAATTGTAAACTTTGCACTAGCAGCCCCACCCCAACATAACAGGATTCACACTCTTCAACCATGCCCATAAATGCTGTACCTCAGTGATTGCCAAACATGGATAGTCTTCAGAATCCGAGATTTTTTTTAAAAATATTCTTTTTAGTTGTAGTTGGACACAATACCTTTATTTATTTGTTTGTTTGTTTGTTTTTATGTGGTGCTAAGGATTGAATCTTGCACGTGCTAGGCAAGCGCTCTATTGCAGAGCTACAATCCCAGCCCCATTTTTTTTTTTTTTTTGAAAGGTAGATTTCTAGGCTCCACCCTCYAGAGGTTTTAATTCATTAGGCCTGGTTCAGGCTGTGGAATCAGTTTTCTAGGATCTTTCAGAATTTAGAACTATGTAATTCCATAAGATATATGGTTCCAAAAATAAGAAAATTACACTTATTACTATTCAAGTCCTTTTACTGGCACTGAGATATAAGAAAAAAAAATTTAATTATTAAACACAAGCCTTGAATTCTGCTAATAGCTATCCTTTGCCAAGTGGTTACTRTGTGTTGGGCACCATACATATGTTATTTCACCTAATCCTCATTTTTCAGAAGAGAAAACTGAGGTAAAGCAATTTACAAGAGTTTATTCAGATGATAAGTTTAAGAGACAATATTCAAATCCATTYTATGTGACTCCCCAATCCATGTCCTATTTAAATCACTCCTGTACTGCCTCTCTAAATGAACACTCTTATAACCATGAAATTTCATGTACAAAATATGAGAAGGACTACTTATATATGGTATTTCCAACCATGCCCTCACATAGTTACCAAATACTGTCAGATAAAAATCTTACTATTTTTATGTTCAAAGATAATACAGCTATAATTATAAGATCTTATTTCTACCTGTAATGAATTTTCCTAAATAAGGAACAGAATTAACAAAAATAGTAATTTGTAATCCAAACTCCTAAAACACTTAAAGCTCTTTATCATGAGAGAGCTTTTTTTTTTCTTATTCTGCAGAGAATCAAACCCAGGGCCTTGTACAACAACCTGATCACTTGTTTAATGTGATGACAGCCAGGTTTCCTTACTCTAAAGTTACTGTGTTTCCCTCTGAGCAAGCATTCTACCTCTGAGCTCTATYTCCAGCCCTTTTTGTTTTATTTTGAGACAGGGTCTCACTGAATTGCCCAGGCTAGCCTTGAATATGCAATCCTCCTTCCTCAGCCTCCTTGTAGCTGGCACCAACATGTCCATCTAAGAAAGCATTTTTAAGAGCCAAATTCATATTACTTAATATTCCAATCCCAAAAGTACAGTATCAATGTGCAATAATAAAAATCCTAAAATTCTTCTGGTCTTGTAAGCAAAGGAGAGGTCTTAAAAATCTTCTGAAATCTTCAAAAGTAAATGATGAACACCCTTATTTGTCCTTAGATCCCAAAAGTTTGAATAAGCAAACTTCATCATAATACTTGTTTTCAAAGTCACCAGACAAATTTGGCCTCTCCATGAGGTGACTAGAATAACATAAAGAGCAGTACATTCAGGGCTGGGTCTGGGGCTCAGTGATAGAGTGCTTTCTTCGTATGTGTAAGGCACTGGGTTCGATACTCAACACCACATAAAAACAAATAAATAAAATAAAGATATTGTGTCCGTCTACAACTAAGAAAATATTTTTTAAAAAGCCAGTACATTCAGAGGTATATTGCATAAACTTTGCTTGACAGTTAAATCCACATGAAAAAGTAAATTCTACTCTAAGACAAGGGTGACTTCCTAGAGATCATTCATGCATTTACGTATGCTGTAGTCACCTTTCTTACTTATAGAAGAAACATTTTTTTGTTTGTTTTGCTGTGCCATGAACCCAAATCCAAGGCTTTGAGAGTGTTAGTAAGCTCTCTGCCACTGAGCTAAAACACCAACCTCTATAGAAAGCATTTTTAATCCCACTATTGTAATTATAGCAACCAATATATTCACAATTTACCTGATAACTCTTAAATAAGTCAGTTTTATTTATTCTAGGGACATGCCAGACAAAAGAGAATAACCCTTGCTTTTTTGTTTGTTTGGTTTCTAAAAAAAAAATTCATTTTTCTTAGAAAATTTTTCTCAAAATACATACTACTTACTGCATCAAGTAAACAAGAAATCTGATCAATATTTGGAGATAAACATAGATGAGTTGCTAATTCATTTTGTATGCATGATTTTGTATTCTAAARTATAGCCTCATAAATTTCAGTCTCTCAGTAATTTTTCTGCATTTGGCCTTGTTATGAATTATTTAAGCAGCACAAATTCATACCATTGTCAGAAATTGAGATTTCTAAACAGACATGTGTCCTTTTTTAAAAAAAAAATATTTTAATTTGTAAATAATTTCAATGTAACAGAACAGTTGCAAAGATAGTATAGAGAGTTCCTGTATACTTTAACCTTGCTTCCCCTAATGTTAACATCTTATGCAACTATAGTGTATTTATTAAAACTAAGAATATAGGGCTGGGGATGTGGCTCAAGCGGTAGCGCGCTCGCCTGGCATGCGTGCGGCCCGGGTTCGATCCTCAGCACCACATACCAACAAAGATGTTGTGTCTGCCGAGAACTAAAAAATAAATATTGAAAATTCTCTCTCTCTCTCTCTCTCTCTCTCTCTCCTCTCTCTTTAAAATAAAATAAAATTAAAAAATAAATAAATAAAAGCAATCACACTAAGGTGGAAGGACCTGATATTAAAAAAAAAAAAAAAACTAAGAATATAGCATTGACATAGTACTTTATTATTAAACAATAGACTTTATTCTTATTTCCACAGTTTTTCCACTGATGGATAATTTTATTTCTACGATCTAGTCTGGGATATTACATTGGACTTAGCTGTCAAGTTTCCTTGGTCTTTTCTAATTTGATAGTTTGTTGATCTGTTTTTCATGAACTTGACACTTGAAGATCAGTGATAATATGTAAATTTCCTTCAATTTTAGTTTCTCTGATCTTTCCCATGATTAGACTAAAATTATGGATTTGGGGGAAGACTACCAAATAAGTGATAAGCCCTTCTCATCATATCAGGGCTACATGATATCAACATGATTTATTACTGGAAACTTAACCTGATCACTTGTTTAATGTGGTGACAGCCAGATTTCCTTACTATAAAGTTACTGTGTTTCCCTTTTATATCTGCTCTTTAGAAGCAAGTTACTAATTCCAGCCCATATTTAAGGAGAGAAGAGTTAGGCTCCATCTTTTAGAGTGAGGAGTATCAAAAATTTATGAAAATACAGTGAAACTACCACATCGATAAATATATTGGAGAGGATAGTCTGAAGCTATGCAAACATCCGCTTTTCAGAGTTTTRCCTACTAATCTTAGCATTCATCAATGGGTCTTGCCTGCTAAATTACTACTATGTTGTTTTAGTGATAATTTTCTATTTTCCTCCTTTCTTCAATGTAGTTAGAATTATTCTGAAGTTCTTCACATTTAATTGTCCCTTTCCCCTCAGTTTTTATCTCTTCATTTATATTAGTTTGGATTAATGGACATTTATTCTTTGGGTTACAAGCCAATACTGTTATGTATTTTGTTGCTCAAATTATTCCATTTCCTTTTTTTTTTAATTGGGAGCTCTTTTAAATTAGTTCCTGTGTCCTTTTGACATGCCCCATTAAAAAAAAAAAAAAAAAGTATCTCCCTACTTTCTGGCACTACTATTAGCTTCAGGAACATCCTACATTTTCCTTGCTGCAGCCCTACAATCAACCATGTCTTGGCCCTGGTTGCTTTTATCAGAGAAGAGTGTTTAGAAACTAAAATATGAGCACTAGTTGTGCTTGTTCCTACCGGAGTGTCATGCTTCTAGGTACTTTCAGTAGAAAGATCTTAGAAGTATATGTATACATACTAACCTCTGTGTACACAAATATCTATCTTATTTCTGTATCCATATATATATATATATATATATATATATATGTATTATGTAATACAATAAGTATTCATATTGATCTAACTCCAGTTCAACATAAAAAGATTTATTTTAGCCTTTTCTTATCTCCTTCCTACCTCCAAACCCATTTGTTTATTTGTAATTTATTTTCTGACAGTGAAAAACCTGATTTATCTATAAATATGTATTCTGTGAGAAATTTACCAAATAGAGTACAGTGTTTGTGTATAGTTTTGTCTTTAGTCTTACATTATCTAGACAAAGCACTATTTTCCAAAGTTAAAGTTATTTAGATTTGCTCCATTCTCCCCCACTCCTTGCAGGTAAATTATGTCTAAGTTTGTAATATAGTTAGATTTATTTGTCCACAGTCTATATGCCATCTTGGAGTTTACCCAAGGGATTTTGCATACACTAAAGTCATTGTTTGTCAAGTATAGTTCTATGGGTTTGACAAATGCATAGGGCCATGTATTCACCACCAGAAAACCATATACCCTAAAACTTCTCTGTATCCCCTTTGTATTTGGCCTATCCTTCTATCTCAAACCCTCAAAAACACTGATCTGTTTGTCCATATAATTGTGCCTTTTTTAAAATATCCCTAAATGGAACCAAATAATATATAGCCTTTGGATCTGGCTTTTTTCCCTTAGCACAATGCATTTCAGATTAATCTATGTTGTTACAGGAATCAACAAGCAAATTTTAAAGAGACTATACAACTGCATGATGACTCATATTTGAACCATGACAATTACGTCTTTAGGTTTAAAGTAAATTATAGTTCCAATTAGGCAAATGTGCATATAAGGTAACCAAACAGTGCACAATAAATTGATAATGTTGAAGCAAAACTATTAATAGTTTGCAAATAAAAGCAAAAATAACAGCCTTTGAAACCATGACCAATAGAAAATATAGTGATGATATATTAATAATAGAATCTTCTTGAACATTACTGGCATTACAAATATTTGCTTAAAGTCATGTGAAATAGGTGCTCTGCAGAGATGCCAAGCATTGAGTGTGTGTCATTATCATGAATGTGGAATTAAGACTCCTTAGAAAACTCTTAATAATGTTCATGACTACCTATTTCTAATAATCCTTATTAATTTCAAGTATATTACTAGTAAGTTGCTTTAAGTCTTAGGCAAAAATAAAGTCTATTGCTTGTTATTTGTTCATCAGAACCAAAGAAAGAACTCATTTTTAGATATAGTCCATCAGAGAATCCTCATTGTCTATTGATGAACCTCAAACATACTTTTAGAATCACTGAATTGATGGTTAGATTGTATTCCTAATTCCAAAGTGACACTTCCACACTTTATAACACTTTTAATTAAGCATATACTCAATGCTTGACAATAAGTTTGTGAATGTTTTTTCATTTTTTAATTTTCCCACGGAAATCGCTTAAGAGATTAGTATTCAAGGGGCTAGGAAACTGCATAAAACTTTTATTTAATTGTATTTTCAAGTCAGTCTCATTAAAAATATTATCCTTGCATTTCAGGTGATTTCTCAGCATACACGGGAGCTACTGGGAATTGAAGAGCCATTATTCAGCCGCTCCATCAGGCTTCCCGCTCGGGACAACATTGGCCTATTTTTAGAGCAAAAAGGTCATACTGGGGTAAAATCTGACTCCTTGACCTTCTCTGAATTTGTCAAAACAAGAAGATTATGTGATTATGATCCAGAAATAACTGCCTCTGAAGAGAATAAGGCTGTTAACATTGTACGTAACTATAGAAGAAAGGTATTTCACTCACATTGAAAGATCAGACATAATTACTTAGGAGAAGAGGTGTGGCCTTTTTTATTTTTCTTCTCTTCTTTTTCATTAAGGATCAGAGTCAGAACTGCTGGCTCCATTCCTAGGTCTTCTGTGATTCCCAGCACCTTCCCTTTATTTGTGTTTCAATTTAGCCCCTCCTTAAAACAAAGATAGCAATTCTTCTTGGATAATTGTAAGAATTCCTGATACATTCTAATAATACACCTGGGTAGTAGGAACATGCTGGAGGAACTATAACTAAAAATAAAATCTGCCAGCCCAGATAATCCTTTCCATGAATGTAGAAAAGAAGCCATTTTAGTACTGAATAAGCATAGGCAAGCTGTCAAAGATATTGCAAAGTCAAAAATAACTCACTCTTTAAGACAGCAAGACAGATTATAATCTATTACATGCATGTTAATTATCCATATCTAATGGAAAAATAAAAATTCTCATATCTTGATCACAAATAGGAAGTTACTACTTGGAGCCAGGCCCCCAGGTTAACCTCCCACAGAGGTCTCAATACTCAGACATTTCAAAAAAGATGGCTCCAAGGCCTCCAAAAGAACTCTCCTGGAGTATAAAACTGACAAGAGGGTTATTTACCTTTTTAAAAGATTTACATATATCTTCAAATCAAAGGATTTGCAATCGTGTTTTCTAAAGGAAATACCTTAGGAAAGATGATGGGGGAAGGTTCTCTTCCTATAAGCATCATAGAAAAAAAAAGTAAGATTTGTTTTTTGTTTTTTTAGATTTGTATATATTCTTCTAAAACAACATGACTTACAGAGGTACCACTGACTATGAACAAGGTTTGGGGTTTACTTCAAGGTTCTTATATGTGGAAACTTTTAGATCTTTATAAAATGAAATTCAGGCTAGAATCTACTTATGACTAGACTTCTCAAAAGATATTATTAAATACTTCTTGCCTGAATGATTCCTGTTCCTTTCCAGTTTTTATTAATTGCTCAAAACATTACAATGATCTTGACATATCATATATTATACATTTGATTCAAATGGGGTATGAATTCTTATTTTTCCCACGTGTACAGATTGCATGATCACATTGGTTATACAGCCACTTTTATACATACTGCCATACTAGTGTCTGTTGTATTCTGCTTCCTTTCCAGTTTTATAGACATATCTGCTCTTTCTCTCCTGATCTCACTTCTTAATCCTAAGAACCACCAAAGTGCTAATACTATTTAGAAAGGCAATGATGTATTTTTTTATAGTTCCCTACATCTAAACAAATAGTAAAAGGAATATTTCTTTTTTTCCTACTGATATGAGAAACAGTGCCTCAAATTAACATGCATGCTAAACATTGATGTTTGATGATGAACCTAATTTTTCTCAAAATAAATTAAGAAGTTTTATCAGAAACCATTCTAGAACCATACCTTTGGATTTGCCTGACTCACAGGTATACAAAAAATAAAAGTAAGCAATTAAGACCAAGGTGATTTTCATACATAGTAAATGGTTTTGCTAGAAGCACTTTAGCATTTGGGAAAAAGGAGTTCTGTTTAGCAATAGAATATAGTAGGTGAATCTTGATGATGTCACTGCTATTGTTTTCAACTCTGTCATAATTTACAAAATGTATTGACCTAATAAAAATCTATTTGGAAACTATTGATATTGAGCCATACCATAAGGTTTATATAAAAAGCTCTGCATTGGTTTACTCTTAAAGGAAAAATATTTGGAGAAGACTAAGTTGGCTTGCAGGGAGGAGTTGGAACAACGGGCATCATTGGCAGACTGCATAACAATGAATTGATTCCTGCAGAAATAAAATTGTTACTGTTCATTTTTGTCAAAAAAATAAAAATAATTTACAAAATGTATTTGTAAAACATAAAGGAAATAAACAAATTTGCACCAAAGAAATAAGATCTCAGTTATTTTTAGCCATTTAATATAAATGTGAGGTCTTTTGTTTTTGTTTATTGGTATTGGGGATCAAACCCAGGCCTCACACATGTTAAGTGTTCTTCCACTGAGCTACATTCATAGCCCTGCCAGTTATTTTTAAAATGGTTTTATGGTTTAAAATGGTTCAAATAGAAACAATTTTAAATAAGATAGTATCAGAACAGTCAGATATAACTGAAATAAGCATGGATAAGTCATAATTTAAGATTGTTTACCAAGTTTTATGGCTTGAATGTGAAGTATCCTCTAAAAGTTCCTATGTTAATGCAGGAATATCCGAGGTGAAATGATCAGAGTATGGGAGCTGTGGCCTGATCAGTCCATCCTAGTTTGAATGGACTAGCTGGTTGTTAACTGTGGGTGGGTGGGGTGTGGTTGGAGGAGGTGGGTCACTGGGGGCATGCCCTAGAGAAGGATTCAGCTTCCCTGTGCCACTTGTCTCTGCTTCCTGGTTTCCATAAATGGAGTGACACTCCCCCACTATGCCCTTCCACCAAGATGATCTTTCTCACCTTGGGCCCAAAGCAATGGAGCCAGGCCACCATGGACTGAATCTCTGAAACTGTGAGCCAAAATAAACTTTTACTCTTCTAAATTGTTCTTGTCAGGTATTTTGGTTGCAGCAATGAAAAGCTGACTACTACAGAAGCATTACCATGGAAGTGATAGGAAAAATCAAGTTGTTTGCCACCTATATACTATTACAGGAAAAGAAACTGCAATATGTAATTGTCCAATAATGAATTTAGCTTTTAGAAAATTAATAATTTGCATTAACAAAGCTTTTTTGGGGAAGCAGTTTATATAAGTGTGTTAGGTTGTGTAGTTTGATTTGGTTGCTTCTGAAAGCTAGACATACCCAAGCATATTGATATGTAGGATCTCTTGTTTTATTTTGCATTTGAAAGAGCCACTAGTACAATTTTCAAACAGGGATTGCAGTCACATAACTCCCCTATCAATTGTGATAATTAGGGCCTAACCATTGTAGAGCAATCTGTGATGAAAAAAAAAATCCTGATTCCTGAGGTCACTTATTGGGATGGAGAGTCCAAGAGATCCACAGGCTCTTCTTCTTTCTTTGGAGCGATGCCGAATGAATCATAGTACAGGTAGGTCAGGTGGTCTTGGAGAACAGTATTGGTGGAGTGATACTGGCTAAAGGGAGTTTCCCTGAGTTGCACAGCAGTCAGATCAAACCAAGGAAAAGGCCTGGGGTGGGAAAAAATAGGTTATTTTTATTTAATGTCAGTATATTTTATTTGGCATTAAGCACATGACTGTGAGGAAAAAATTTCTAGACTTAAGGATTTCTCAACAGAAACTTCATATCTGAAAAGCAAACAAAACAGAATATCCAAGGACTATGGAATAGCCACAAAAGATGGAACATACACATAACGATAATACTAGAAGGGGAAGAAAGAAAAGAACAGAATATTTGAAACAATAAGGACAGAATTTCCCCAACTAAATGTTAGATACCAAATTAGAGATCCAGGAAGCAATCTGAGAATACCAAACAGGATAGTACCAATAAAATAAAAAATAAAAATTTAAAACTAAATCTAGACATATTTTCAAACTTAAAAAAAAACAGAAGATAAAGAAAAAAACTTAAAAAAAAAACAGAATATAAAGAACAATTCCTAAAAAAGCCACAGGAGAAAATGCCTTACCTAGAGAAAACAAGATAAAAATTGAACTGACGTTTCCCCAGGAACCATCCACACATGAAGATAAAGAAGTGAATTAAGTGCCAAGGAAGAGAACAATGAGTAGGTCTCACTAGTGTTGACAGAAAAAACCACCCATCTAGAAGTCTGGGTCCTTCCAAAGTTAAAGAAATAAAGACTTCAACAAACAAAACAAGAATTGAGGGAATTTGTTGCCAGTAGAGTTGTCTTGCAAGGAATGTTCAAAGAAGGAAAATTATACTTGTATCTATGTAAAGAAAGGAAGAGCATTGAAGAAGGAATAGTGAAGGTAAAATGAAACCCTTCATTTTTCTTATTTTTAGTTGATCTAACAGATAACAATTTGTTCAAAATAATAGCAAGTCACGTGTGTGTGTGTGTGTGTGTGTGTGTGTGTGTGTGTGTATGAAATGAGTGCCAGCAATGATACAGGAACTGGAGGGAAGAATCAGGATTATATTATTACAAAGTACTCATACTACCTGTGAAATGGCACAGTATTTAAAGTTGTCCTTAAATTAGTTTAAATGTCTAGTGCAAGGTTGTTCGTAAGGTTAACATACAAGTCATTCTCTTTCCTAGACAGCAGAATCTTGATCCATTTTCTGTCATTATAATCACATACTACAGACTCCCTAACTTGATTTATAGATTCAGTACAGTCCCATTCAAAATCCTAGCAAATTGTTTTATGTGTATTGGCAAATTAATTTTAAGGTTTATATGAAAGGTCAGACTCACAATAGCTAACTCAGTATCAATGGAAAACAAGTCAGAGAATCCATACCACCTGACTGAAGACATATTATAAAACCACATAATCAAAATAGTTAATGATCAATGAGACAAATAGAGAACCTAGAAATAGATCCACATAAATATACGATATAGTTAGCTATTCTTAACGAAAGTCCAAAAGCAATACAATAGAGAAAATATGGTTTTCAATAAATGATGCTAGAACAATGAGACATACAGAAAAAGAAAATCTAGACATAGAACTTATACCCTTTACAAAAATTAATTCAAAATACATGATAGATATGGGACTGGGGCTGTAGCTCAGTGACAGAGTATTTGCCTAGCACATGTGAGACACTGGGTTCAATCCTTAGCACCATATAAAAAAAAAAAAAAAATAAAGGCATGATGTCCATCTACAACTACAAAAATGTTTTTTAAAAATACATGATAGATTTAAGTGCAAAATACAGAACTACAAAATTCCTAAAAGAAAACAAGAAAATTCAAATGGGTTTGGCATGACTTAAATTGTAACATGAAAGGTATGATCCATGAAAGAAAGAATTGATAAACTGGATCTAATTAAAATTTAAAATTTCTGCTCTGAAATACACTGTCAAGAAAACAAACACAAGCCTGGAACTGCAGTGCATGCCCATAATCCCAGTGGCTCAGGAGACTAAGGCAGGAAAATCACAAGTTCAAAGCCACCCTCAGCAATAAAATTAAAAAATTTTTAAATGTCTTGGGCTGGGGTTTTGACTTGGTGGTAGCATGCTTGCCTAGCATGCGTGAGGCACTGGGTTCAATTCTCAGTACCACATACAAATAAAGATCCATCAAAAAATAAAAATATTTTAAAAAAATAAAATGTCTCAAAACAAAGAGGAGATATACAATTAAAAAGTATAATTCACCAAGGATATATTAAAATTTGTAAACTTATTTATCATAGCATGACTTCAAATTTTATAAAGCAAAGATGATTACAAATGTGAAGTGAATTTAAACTACAATTGCAATGGAAATATTAATATGCTGTGCCTCTGTAACAGAACATCTGACAAAGAATATAGCACATTATTTCTCCAGTTTTAATGTGCATAAGTATCACCTGGGATCTAGTAAAAATGCAGACTGTGAGTCCATAGGCCTGGGGTGCCAGGTTCTGCATTTCCAAATAAACTTCCAGGCAACCGACAGATGCCAGTAGTTTGGGGAGCAAAGAGTAACAGATTTGACTAACACAGGAACTTTGTGCCCAAAATACAGTCATTATTTCAAAGGCAAACAGCACATAGATGAAGAGGTTAGATGAAAATTTTCTTAGTTCTTCCTATTTCTATTATAATAATCTGAAATGAAATTAAATGAGCCATACATATTTGAAAAATTAAGAAAGAGAACCACAAAAATAAACTAAAAGAAATGAGGAACTAATTATTAAAAGTACTTGAATTAGTCAGGTGTGGTGGGGCAGACCTGTAATCTCAATTACTGGAGAGGCTAAGGCAGGAGGACCACAAGTTCAAGGACTGAACAAATTACTCAGAGATCTTGTCTCAATGACAACATTAAACATCACTGATTCATTTCCCAGTTAATTAGTCACAGCTAATATTAATAGCAGTTATCATTGAAAAAAGGGATTTGAGGTATGGGACAATATCACTTTTAGTTTACAGTTTATATGCTTTTTTGCCACAAACATATTAGTTTTGTTATTTTTTAAAAAGTCCACATAAAAGAATAAATGTGTAAAACAGTTAAGATTATTTTGAAAAATATTAATGAAGGGAACTTTCTCTACCAGATAAAGAACACATCTACACATGGCACACTGCAGTGTCTAATTGTGGTATGGGTATAGGAAAACAAAACCACAGTTCTGGAGAGTGTACAAATATGCCCATAAATATATCACAATTTAGAAAATAAAAGTGATATTTCAAATTGATAAGAAAAGGGTTTTAGGACAATTGGCTTTCCAAAGTGAATAAAAGATTAAAAATCTCAAGTTGAAGATTTAAATATTTTTAAAAATCAAGTACTTAGAGAAAATTAAGAGTTATCTTAGGATAAGAAGGATCTTTATAACTTGAAACTATGAAACAATAAAGTGATTTGACAAATTTTATTACAAAAATTAGAATATTTTGAATAGCAAAAGATACCAAAAAACAATAACAACAACAATGACCAGGAAAAATATTTCCAGTACACAGAATAGGGAGTTACTATTCCTACTAAAATCTCCTACAAAGCAAGTAAAACAGTCAAAACAAAAGTAGGCAAAGAACATAAAATGAGGCTGAGAGAAAACACAAGAGCAAAAATTCATAAGCTGAAAAGGGAATGAAGAAGAAATAACTATGAGCCTACATGGGAATGCTGACTCCTGTGTCAGCAGTAGCAAAAGCCACTGTCCATTTACATCAAAAGCCCTCAAAAGACTTAGGAAATGGGATCAAGTACATCTAGAAGTAGGGGTAAGAGGGGACTAAAAGCAGGATACTGGTTGAAAAACTTAAAAAGAAGAATATGCCTAGTTACTACTATGCTGCACCGTCAGGATTCACCCCTCCCCATTCCTGACGTTTTTGTTTTCTTTTTTTTTTTTCTCTAGAGAGGGTCAAACAGAAAGTCTTTGGGCAGGGAGTAAATAAATATGCATTGTTTAGTGTTGAGGGAAGAGATATCATGTTGAAAAAAGAGAAAATAATAAAGTAAAAAAATATATATATAAAATATATATATATTACAGTGAATAAAACACGCCCCCCCCAACAAATTTCACACACACAAATTTCTCTAACCTGGATTCCAAAAAGCTGATCACCAAGTATATCTCTTCTAGGTAGGAGAGTGGAAGAAGTCTGACTCACCAAGAGAAAAGTCTAAAGATACCAATATTCAGGGTTTCCCAAGGAAACAACTGACCAAATCGGTCTATTCTAAAGATCACTGTGATGATAAAAGTTTCTAAACAATTGTGTGTATGTGTGTGTGTGTGTGGGACCTGGGGCCTCATGACTACTAGGCAAGTACTCTACTACTGARTTATACACCACACCTCCAATCCACTTTTTAGTATCCAGGATCTTGAATATGAACAAACTATCAAGATTCCCCACTTATTTGAAGAAAGTTTCTAAAATGATAGAGACAAAACAATTGATTAGAAAACAACTTGAAAGAAACAGACTACTCAGAGAAGAGAAAAACAACAATAGTTGATATTCTCAAAGGGCATATTGCAAAATGAAATGACAGCAGGTGCTACATAAAATAGGAATATTTAGAGAATAAAACAACTTTTAAACGTAAAATAAGATAGCAAACATGAAAATATTCTGCTATTAGGGAGGAAGAGCAGGAAGMAAAGATTAACATTAAACAGAGACATGAGGTGGGAGGGAAAGGGAGAGAAAAGGGAAATTGCATGGAAATGAAGGGAGACCCTCATTGCTATACAAAATTACATATAAGAGGTTGTGAGGGGGATGGGAAAATAAACAAGAAG